GCCAAAATGATTATACTGATTAAATATTTTAGATACTACTTGTTATCTTTATTTTAGGAAGTACTGAAGTTTTTCTAATTTGAAGCACTTGACAGGTTTTCTAATCATATGCTACTGAATAACTTGATACTAAGATCAGCCCTAAAAACGATTGGGAGGATAAATGAAATAACAGAGATAATACTGTGCCTACTAGGTTAGAGATTCTAAGGATACATATTATACTCCTGTATATTTAAACATTTAAAAAAAAAAAACCTTTTGAATGCATTACTTATTTGATTTGGGAAATATTTAATCAGTTAAATAATCTTACCAATGTTTTAAATAACTTGTTAAAACTTAAATTAATTGATTTGGTTTCTTTGGTAGTGCACCCAGAGAAAAGTCTCAGAAAGCTATCCAAGATGAAATCCGTTCAGTGATCAGACAGATCACAGCTACAGTGACATTTCTGCCACTGTTGGAAGTTTCTTGTAAGTATTATACAAATTTCACATGCTTTTATTAAATTTTTTCTTAATTATCAGTGTCCTGTAATACAAATGAGAAAAATGTTACAAAGCAAAAGTAATGCTATATGCATCTTATTTAGAAGTGCGGTAAAGGAATGAAAGTAGTCTACACTACTCACTCTAAAATATTTTGATGTAATTCCGTTCATTTTTATTTTCTACACATGTCTATGTATATAATGAAGACTTTTAGCTATAATTGTGTCTTTTTTTTTCTAACTTAGTTACTCTTTCATTCATCAAATCTATCCTGCATACCTGCTATCTGCCAGACACTGTTCTGGGCACTGGGATACATCAGTCACAAAACCAAGATGTTACTATCGTTTCTATGGCTTACATTCATGCTACCTCGTGATTAATTCTTTCTGCAAATATTTTTAATGGTTCTCTCATTAAAGGAAAAAAATTCAGTTTTTTTCATAAGATAAAGTAAAAGGAGTACAATATTTTCTGTAAAATTTCCATTGAGGAAAAACAGTTAGCTAACAATTAACTGATTAGAGATCCGACTAAAGTAGCTTTTCTGACACTATAGGTGGTTCAAATGTGAGAGGAACACGGAGAGTAGTTTTACTTTTGAAAAAATAATGGTACTTTAATGATCTTGTCCCCAATTTAGGTTCATTTGATCTACTGATTTATACAGACAAAGACTTGGTTGTACCTGAAAAATGGGAAGAATCGGGACCACAGTTTATTACCAATTCTGAGGAAGTCCGTCTTCGTTCGTTTACTACTACGATCCACAAAGTAAATAGCACAGTGGCCTACAAAATTCCTGTCAATGACTGAGGATAAGGACTGTGATGTACTTGTAATTCTCAGATGTGGTTTTCCTGGAACCGAGTCAACTATAGTTGATCCATTTTGTTTCATTGGTTAACTTTTAGATGGGGAAAACTTAACATTACGCTTTCACTGAACTGTGCATAATTGTTCCATTTTTTGGTACCTGTATGACTTTATACAGGGTTGACCTACATTATTGCACACTATTCAAAAGGGGACTAGGAGATTACATCAGCATTGTTATGTCAATTCCTTTGAGAGTGGTAACCATAGATGGCAAACTTTTGTTATAAAGCTAAATGCCTTCTTAAATCAGATCTTTTTTGGTCAAGTACCTTGACTCAGAATATAGGTAGGGAGATGTTTAAATATAAAATATAGCAAAATAAGTCTGAATATTCAAAGTCTTTGTTTAGATTCTGAAATTACCCAATAAGAATCTGTAAGTAATTAAATATTGCTCCTATTAGGTCCTTTTGCCATTTATTTCATTTGTATAGTTTCCATATTGAAAACATTTCCAATTATTTGATTTTAATTTATATAACCTGAGCCTACAAAGGTATGAATATTTCTACTTCAAATTCCTATGATACAGAACTCTTAAAAAGTTTTTTTTTTATGGTTTATAAAATCAAGCTTTAAATGATGATGAAATAAATGTGTACGTTTTAAATTTGTCTTAAAATATTTTTATTTTTATATTGGTGTGAGTGCTTAGTCTAACTCTTTACATGTATTAACTTCCACTATTAAGTAAATACACATAGCATCCATTCATTCAAAAATTATGGTATGGACCTGTTAATGTGCCAAGTGGCCAGGATGAATGAAACAATCCTGGATGCTCATTTTCATAACAGTGCTATTCACAGTAACCAAGCAGTGGAAGGAACCCAAATGTCCATCAGATGAATGGGTAAACAAAATGTGATGTATACGTGCAATGAAATAAAATTCAGCTTTAAAAAGGAAGGAGGGGTGCCTGGGTGGGCCTGGCCTGGACTCTGATTCAGTTTTGTTTACCATAGAGGAATGAAAAACAGCATGCTCTAGTAGAGCCTATCAGGGTCTGAAATAGAGCCTCAGAAGGGACTGAACCACATCTGGTCTTCAGGATCCTTCTCCCAGTGTCCCCAGCTGGATAGGGAAATCAAGCTTCCGTGATTACAATGTTTACGATAGAGGTAACAGTCTCCAGTATTAGTTGACTTTTGCTGCTTGGCAAACAACCATAGAATAATGATAAGCACTTTTTCCCCTGTAAGTCTGGGTCATCTGGGGTGCTTATCTTATTCTCAGGCAAATCTGCAGGTCACATGTCTTACTCAACTAGTGAAGGAGCAATGGCTATCCAGGATTCTTCAAGCTTAGCTTCAGAACTTTAACGCTGACATTTTTTCCCACATTCCACTATATGGGCAAGTCTTATGGCTAAGCCAAACTTCAATAGGGCAGGGAAGTATGCTCCCATGGAGTTGGAGAGAAGGGTGTGTGAAAACCTGATGAAAGTGATACTATACAGCAAAGATCAGAATAGCTATAATAATCCTATATTGTAACTCCCGTTTTCCACCAGATGTCACTAATGCTGCAATACTTACTCAAGGTGAATTTCTTTTGACTCTAAAAAACTAGACTATTCAGCTTTTCTTATTGGAAATTAACATTGGGATTTCTGGCTACAAAAATATAAAGACATCAGAGGAAGAAAGCACAGCATCTGTTACTTGTTAGGCACTTTACATGAATTCTTTCATTTAATTTTGACGATTTAGTGCACAAGTAGAATTGTGGGTTTAATGAGCAAGCAAACCACTACCTTTAAGTGGTGGTCTCTTCTGACCATGACCAAGGAAGCTCAGCTGACCCCTCAGCAAGCACATCAAAAGGAGTTCCTTCACCCTTTTCCGAATGGCTCTTACCTTTCATTTATTTATTTTTTAAGTTTATTTATTTTTGAGAGTGCATGAGTGCAGGAAGGGCAGAGAGAAAGGAGACACAGAGAGAGGAGACAATCCCAAGCAGGCTCCGCGTTGTCAGCACAGAGCCTGATGTGGGGCTCGAACCTACTAACTGAGGTCATGTCCTGAGCTGAGGTAACCACCTGAACCACCCAGGTGCCCCAGCTCTTAACCTTTTACATCCCTTTAGCCATTGAGTGTCCAGAACAAATTGGTTTTCATTTGTAAAACTCCATGTTTCATTGGGTGTATTTGTATTTACACTTTCCTCAGATGAGTGACCAATGAATGGTAGGAACCAAAAGATAGAGGGCTTAATCCTCTAACTTAATCTATATAGTTCAAAGAATAAATCAAGTGTGAATTTGCAAGCAGTTGTGAAACAGTTTACCAGTCAATCAAAAGAATTATTAAGTGACCTCATTTACTCTTTAGGGAATTAATTTTGGGCTAAAGTTGCAAATAATTTCTTATTCCTTTTTCATTAAATATGTGAAATTATAAGTTATTTTGTCCAATGTAACTGATAAAAATTTGTGTTGGCATAACTGTGGAATAGAAATGCTACTAAAGTTCAAACTTTATTAGTTATATGCTCTAAGAACAGATCTTTAAAGATCTTTCCATTCTTCATGAATATGGCTTTTAAAACTAGCAGTATTAACTGATGCTTATTAAAAAAAATCTAGTTGGGAAAGCTACTTAATCTTCATTAGAGTTGACAGTCCTATTCCAATCTGGCAAAAACATTGTAGCCTTAGCAACAAAACTATTAGAAAAGGCCTGGAGAGGAAAATGTCAGGAGTTGACCCTCTGATTACACAAGTCCGTTTATGTTACCATTTCACCTATTTTTTTGCTCTTACTATTTGATCTATTTTTATACTAGAGAAACATAATATAATTTCATTTATTTGTATAAAGTCCATTTTCATCTGCGTTTATCTGCACCATTTTGCTATGCAAGCTTGTTTGCACAAAGGAACTTACATCAGATCAAAATCTTTATTGTTTTGACATTTTATCTGTGCTAAAAAAGGCCTCTGAGTATAAGCACGACCACTTGTGCTCCACTTCCATGCAAGGGAAAGATCTCAAGCCTCTTTAAAAACTATCTAGATATGGACATACCCAGTGGATACCTACATACAGATGGGAATTTCTTTATGGATGGCAGTCTCACTGACCAAGTCTAGGAGTTAATGGTCTTAAAGAGTGAGTCTGTGCTGTCCAAAATATTTAATGTCAAAAATACAGTTCTTGGATAACTGTGTACTTAATCATAAAAATTCTTTTTTTTTTTTTAAGTTTATTTATTTATTTTGAGAGATGCAGAGACAGCACGAGTCGGGAAGGGGCAGAGAGAGAGAGAGAAATAGAATCCCAAGCAGGCTCCACGCTGCCAGCACAGAGTCCGACGTGGGGCTTGAGTCCGTGAAGCCATGAGATCATGACCTGAGCCAAAATCGAGTCAGATGCTTAACCAACTGAGGCACCCCGGCACCCCATGTGTACTTAATCATAATAGCCAATACAACTCTGCAAAAACAGAGTCACAGCTTCCAGGACTGGGAAAGGAAATTTGTGGGTAACGATCATCTACTGAGTGGCAAGCACCAATTGGGTGTGTTATACCTGTTCAACCTGGTTCCTTCTAAGTGAATGGGGGTTGGGGGTTGGTGGGGATGAGGGAAACTTGGGCCACAGCCTATCACCTTAGAAACTGGTGATGGGACGTGGGGAGAGCGAGGAAGCAAGGAAAATGATGAAGGCTGAGTCCCCAAATGAGACCTCTGGAGTAAGGAACAGACCCCCCATACCTTAGTTCGGGGCCATGAAGGGACAGAAGGTGGAGAGAGAAGGACTGGATTCAAAACACAAGTTTTACAACTCTGCTGATGCCTGCTGAGTCTCAGAGGATAACCACTAAGGAAACTTTTCATCCCTACCTAGGCAGGTTGAGTAGGACCCAGCTAGGCAGCAGTTGACCAGAATCAAGATTCTAAGAAAATAAAATACCACGATCACAGTAACAGCCAACGAGTCAGGATTACTCTTTGTCAAGAACAGAAGGATAACAAAGTTTAGCAAAACTTTAAGGAGAGTCTAGATATCACAGATTAGTCAAAAGTTAGTATTCCAAAGAGTTGGGCCATTGCAAAGATAGAACACAAGCGCAAACAAACAATATTCCAGAACACTTAAATTTCAGAGCAGAAACTTTTCTGCTTTTACTCCTTCCTGTCTCAGTAGGATCTGACCATCGGTTTAAAGAGAGAGACTGCAGCTGGGAAGGAAATGGTGCCAAGAGCTGCAGCTGCAGAAAGTTGTTGTTTTCTTTTAACTTTCAGAGTGTAAAATTAATGCATATGCGAATTTTAAAAACCAAGCAGTAGACAGTGGTACCATGAAAAGTAAATTCTCTACCTGAACTCGTTCCTCCACTCCCCATTTCCACCCCTCTATTTTTAAGTAGTTTTTGTTCAGCGGGTGGTTATCGCCATTCCTCTGAAACATATGTTGATACTTTCATTTCTTGTTTATCAACTTGAGATAGTATCTACTGAAAGATGAGAAACTTATTTCTTTTATCCATCCACTTCTCAGTTTTCCCAGTTGATACTGTTTTGGTTTTTCTGGTGATCATGTATAATCTTAGAGTATGCTTCAACTCTATATTTTGTTCCATCAATTTTAGGCAGTATATCTTGATCTTTTTGCTATATTGAAGTGAGAAAGATCTGTGACATTTTCTTCCACGTCTCTCTGCTGCCTCAATAGTCAGACTTCCATTTTTTTTTATATTATCAGTGGTAATATTAGTCAGATTCTCTTGTATTGTTGTCTTGTATTGTTGTCTTCCAAGTTTTGTTTATATGTTGATTCTACAAATTAAAACAGCATTTACATTATTCCAATTATTAAATTGCTTCTTACTGAAGAACTGAATAGCTCTACTTATTGACAAAGAAAGGGTAATCTTATGTTATTAAAACTGAAAGATGAATGTTCCAAGTGTCAAGGTCAAATGGCTTCCTTAAACTCCATCTTCAAGACTTCCTATTAAATTTAATTTGGTCAATGATACCTTTAATTTCCAAGAACTCTTTATTTGTTCTTGTTTCATAGCCACCTATTCTTTGGCTTCTTGACTCTGAAGATGTTAGTTTTTTTGTTGTGGGTTGTTGTTTATTGGTTTGTTTGTTTGTTTTCCCTCTGTTCTCTTACCTGTTTTCTTCAGGAGTTAATTGTTAAATCTGTTCCACTTGGACCTTCTCATTTTTGTTGTTGGTTTAATCTAAATTTTCTGGGATTTTTTTTCCCGTATGTGTGAATGATGAAAAAGGTTGGTCAATATTAGTAGCATGATTTTCCACTGTAGTATTTGACTTCTTTCTTGAATGAAATGATGAATGACAGGGTCTATGTACATATGAGCTATTCTAGGGTACTATTTTAGGTACATTTAGATATTTTCTTCATCATGTATTGTTTGAAATTTGGCTTTTAAAAATATTACTTTAAAATATCATATCTTATTTACTAAGTGTTTTGGTGCACCCTCAAATTTTGTGTGCTTGTTTTCACTGTAGTGTCTGCTTTGGGCCAGGGGCCTGAATGGTTACATGTAATTTCCAGATATGGTCAGTAGAGGGCAGCAAAGGGTAGTGGCGTGAGCGCTTTCTGCCAAGGTCTGGGCATCCTTCTTTTCCCTTTCTTTATAGAGGTAAAAGTCAATTCGTGGTAGAAAGTCCAGAGTGCCAGAGTCAGGAGAGAAATTACCTATAGGGATACTGACCCAGGATGGGGATCGAGCTGAGGAGGCACTGGAAAGATTTAGCCACAATTCACAGCTTTGGTATCATAGAGATTAGAACCACTAGACATCTGGAGAACCATTAGAGAGCACTTTCACAGTCCTGATCCTACTCCCAGTCTGTCTAAAGCCCAAGGTCTCTCTCCTTCAAGTAACAGGAATCTCCTATCCACCTTGAAACTGATGAACACTTCCTGTCTGAGAGTTAATACATGCTATGGGCAGTGGTTATGAGTTCACAACTAGCCATTTCAGGGAGGAGAGATTGAATGGGTTAGGGACACTATAAATATGCAAATGTAGGCAGTTGATGAAAACACATATGTGTCAATTAAGTAATTTGAGAGCCAACCTACATCAGATGTGGCTTAAAATATATTTTCTTTCCTCCTCCAGAAGGGAAACATTGTCTAGGCATGGAAAAACGATATGACTTTGAAATTAGACAAACTTGACTCTATGAATTATTAGGTATGTGGTTCTCAGTTACTGAACTTTATTGAGCTTCAGTTTCTTTATCCATAAAAAATGGAAATAATGATTTTTATCTCATAAATCTGCTGCAAGGAAATGAGATGATGTCCGTAAACTGCCTGGCAAAGAACTTGGCAGTGTGTAGTTATTCAATCGATATTAACACCTGGTGTCTCTCCCAGGCTTTGGTAATGGCAAAATACATGGATGGACTAGAGGGAATAATGCTTAGTGAAATAAGTCAGAGAGAGACAGAGAAAGACAAATACCATATGATTTCACTTATACATGGAGTTTAAGGAACAAAACAAATGAATAAAGAAAAAAAGACAAACCAAAACACAGACTCTTAACTATAGAAAACAAACTGATGGGTTACCAGAGGGGTAGGGGGATGGGTGAAATGGATGAAGGAGATTAAGGGTATACTTCTCATGATAAGCACTGAGTAACGTAGAGAATTGTTGAAGCACTATATTGTACGATTCAAACTAGTATAACACTGTATATTAATTTTACTGGAATTGAAATAAAAATAAAATAAAATTTTAAAAGAAAGAAAGTAAATTAAGAAAATAGTCCTGTCTTTGCAAAGTGCTTAGAAATGTAATTATTGGCACAGGGTCACCTTATACTATGTCTTCTATTTGATATTTAAGATGAACAGTTAAGTGTTCGAGGAAATAAATGAAAACAGACCCTATCAATGTTATTCTGTTTAGAGCTCATTCGTCACATTAAAATAAATAACAATGGTATTTTGGAAGAAATTAAGCTTTAGCTATTCCATGTACAGGTAACTATTACGTGACTAAGGAAAACTCCCTCGATCGTTGTAAGAAAAACTTTTCTCGCCTTTGCGCCACTACAAGGGGGAGATGGTATCAGAACACTACATCTGTTTCAATGAGTTCCTAAAATACTGTCACTCACAATCCTGGTTACATAAAAGAATCACTCAAAAAAAGTTTTTAAAAATACAGGTTTCCCAGAGCTGATGTGTCAGAACCTCTGGGGGGGGAAGTGCCTGAAAAGCTCCCTCAAGCGAGTCTAATGCATATCAGAATTGATAAACAGGGACTGGATTCTAGGAGGAGAGAAGTTTTCCTGGTCTTTAAATCTCTAAAATCTCTGAAGGGGAGAAGCAGGAAATGGGACGTAATCTGGGAGTTGGGGAAGGTGCAGAGATAAGTCTGCCTACGTTTCTTACCTTAAATAGATTTTGACAGATGCTCGAGGAAAGGCCAGAAAGTGTTGCCCAATGAGCCTCCATGGGTCTAAATACAGCCAAGCATGCCCAGACTAGCACTTGTTGCCTGTAAAAGTGGTGAGAAGTCTGGATGCCACTATCTACGTGCCAGTTCTCTGCTAGTTTGGTTTTAAGATAAGAGGCCTTACCACAGTCTAAAAGGACCACAAGGACCTGTGCTCTGGCCTTGAGCTACCTCTGCAGGCATGTCTCACTCTCCTGTACCTTCTGCCTATGTCTCCAATCTAGCAAACTCTTTCGTGTCTCTGAAACGCATAGATTTGCATTCTGTCCCTTCAGCTGAAAAACGAACCTTACCCTCCAACATACTTCTCTTGTCTCCTCTTCCCTTCCCCCTTCCTTCCCCTTCCCTGTCCTCTCACTGAGTAATTCCAAATTGTTCTTTAAAGCTCCATTCCAAAGAGCTCTTGCTTGCCCTCTCCACAATCGAAATCAGGTGGGTCGAGTCCCTCTTTTAATTTCTCATTTCACTCTTTTTCTCTGTGGTACTTTCCAGAGTCTGGTGTTACACAGTTATTGTTGGGACTCTGTTTAATTTCTGCTCCCCTGCCCCCTCATTTAAATCCAGGTTTTGTGAAAGTTGGGCCTGGGTCCCTATTGCCCAGACCTATCAAGTGCCTTTCTCCTAGTACAGGTTCAAACACTAGCTGTTGAATGAATGAAGTAAATGAGAGACAGACTATTTTAGGTCATGCTTTTTCCCGCTCCATCGGTGCCAGAAAACTATTTCATTCACTCATTCAATAAAATGTTTGCATTGCTCCAATGTACCAATGCTCGTGAGAAGTAAATGATAAATCAGATATAGACTTTTCCCTTGGGGTCCATAGAGTCTAGTGGGGAATAAAAGACATGTATTCAAATACCTGTTATAAGACCCTGTAAGGGAAACCATAAACTTTGTCAGTAGGATCAAATTGCAGTCTTCCACAGTTGTCAAAGGAAAGAGACTGTCCCTGTGAGAAGACATTGGGGGAGGAGGAGCTTACAGGAAACTGTGTGACCTCCTGAGTCAGCTGGATTTGAATGCCTCATGTTACATCATGGCTGCCTGGATTTAAAGTATCTAACCTGTCTGTGCAGCAGCCTCCTCACCTGTAAAATGGTCAGTTTTCTAGTGGAAAGGGAACACCATCTTTCATAAAATGTTTTTGAAATTTAGAACTACAGGTTCTTATGGCACTCAAGATGTCCAGATGGCAAATACACACATGAAAAGATGTTTAGCATAATTAGCATCATTAGAGAGGGCAGGGGGAGGGGATACAGGGTTCAAAGAACCCGGAGACCTGAGCAGCCCCCAGCAGCTGGGGAGGGGTCTCATGGCAGGTGGAGGTTTGCTATAGCTCTGACTCCAGCAACCAGTTGTAATACCAGTCGTGACGTGGGATGCTTACCCTGTGCCCTGCAGACCTTAGCTGTGCCCTTGAGTACCCCGTTGTCCTAGTGAAGCAGCTGAATTAGTGATAGCCAAAACCTGGAAACGATCCAGAACTCCTTCACCAATTGGCTAAGCAAACTGTGATACATCCATATCATGGCATACTACTAAGAGACACAAAGAAATGAACTATGCCTCCAGCCATCTGGATGAATCTCCAATTACGTTGAATGGAAGGAAGCAAATCTAAAAATGTTACACACTATATGATCCCCATTTTTATAACATTCTTGGACTGGCACAGTTACAGAAATGGAGAACGGATTTGTGATTGCCAGGGATTAAAGAGGTGGTGGGCATGGAAGGAAGTCTGTGTGGCCGTAAAAAGGTGACACGAAGGACCCTTATGGTGATGGAAGTGTTCTGTATCTTGATTGTATCAATGTTAATATCCTAGTTATGATACTGTACTATAGTTTAGAGAGATATTACCATTAGGGGGAAATGAGTAAAAAACTGATGCAATCTCTCTGTATTATTTCTTACAGCTGGATATGAATCCACAGTTAGCTCAAAATAAAAAATCAAAAGGTAGAGGCCAAATCAGGGAAACAAGTGTGTCAGTTTGTCAGTTATGACCAAAGCCTTAGAACCGTGACATCATAATGGCAGTGATCTTGACTACTGTGGAATCCTCAGGCTTCAAGCATTTTACAGTACTCCGCCACGTGCTGTAGACTCACTTCGATTTTCAGTGCCAAGAACTGAAGAAAAATGGATGTTCACGTCAATCAGAAAGCATGCTGAACTTTTAGGTGGCCATTCAAGGCTTCACCTTATAAGGTAGTCTTTTAATATACTATTTTTGATCATCAAAACAGACTGACAGTAACTGGAAGTGTTGTGCTCTTTTGTTTCTTCTAACGCATATGGACTAATTCGTAACTTCACTGATTTCATGAAAAGCTACTCATGTTCATAAGATTCAGTGCTGCTGAGCAGAAGGGAGGCAGCTTTACATTCTGGGGGGAAGACACTTTCTTGGCTCCATGAGAGAAAATTTTCTGGTCTGTGAAATAATCTATCCTATTTATGAAAGAATTTTTGCGTTCTGTACAATTTAGCTGTTTTACCCATGATGACCAGAAAGTCCTGTCAGAGTCATAGCTCAGCCAAGTAGTAGCTAAACTCTTATGTTTAGAAACTTTTTGATGTTTCCATGATTTTTGCTGGTGTTTGAGAATTTCCCCCAAAGTTTGAATGTTGATTAAGATAAGACTGGGGTCAATTTTCCAGGATCTTCAGTTATCTACATTTTATGTTAACATGAAGCCAAGTTGTACCTAATTCTTCACAAACATCATTTTGTTTTATATTAGGCCACAAATTGTCTTGTTTTTTGGTAGTGGTCTACCTTCTTATAATACTCTCTACCTTTGGCCTCTTGGTTCTCCCCTCCCAAATAACAGCTCGTGATTAGCTCTGTGGCTTTCTCCTCCCCACCTCTAAAAGTTGGCATGCCCCAAGGGCTTTGTCCTTGAAACTGTCTCCATCTGTATCAACTCCCCAAGTGATCTTATCTCTTTTGATAGCTTCCTATAACTTGGTGATTCCTGAGTTTGAGCTCTGGAGTCTTGCTTTGGAGGTTGAGACTAATTTTTAGTGTTGTGTGAACCCTGACATTTAGCATAAAACTATATTGTATGTATTTGACTCAGTAACCAGCTGCTCCATGGTGTTTGATGTATTTGCAGGGAAAGCTCTTCTGTTGACATGGACGCCCACAGCGAAAACACTACATCATCTGAGGGTGCCACCCATACCCTGCTTATCCATGGCCCTGTTGAACTCAAGCAAGGCTGGAGGAGGCAGAAACGGCACCTCTTCTTGTTCAATGATTTGTTGCTGATGTCTAATACGGAGTATGTATACTATGCTATACACCTTTCTGATTATCATAAAGTTACATTTCCATTAGCCTTTACTGTAAGAAAACATTGTGTTTTTCTTTTGTTTTTGCAAGTGTTTTGATCCTTCATTCATTCAATTATGGAAGTCTTGTTTTGTACTGTGCTCCTGTAGAGAAGACAGTTGAGAACGTGACAGGTGGTGTCTCTCTTGCCTGGGACCTACAGATAAATGATAAAAATAAGAGGGGGGGGATGTATAGATTGTGATTAGTGCTTCCGGCAGAAGGGTGCCACGTGGAGAAGATGGGAAGGTATTAGTGAGGGGTTGTCTAGGAGGGCCTCTCCAAGATGGCAGCATTTAAACTAGATTAGATGAGAAGCAGTCACATTCCTAGACAAGATGACTGAAACTTCTAGGATGAGGGACTAAGCGGGCCTAAGTGGGTGCCACCTGGTCCCTTGGGGGGAGCGGCTCAGGGAAGGTGGATTTGACTGGAGCCTAAAGTATGGAGCATGAGATCAGATGTATTCAGGGATCCAGTCACACAGGGTCTACACAGGCCATGGCAAAGGGTAGAAATATTATCCCAAAAGATTTTTTGTTTAATGTTTTTATTTACTTTTTGAGAGAGAGAGAGAGAGTACATGCATGTGTGTGGGTGCATGTGTGCGTGTGTGTGTGTGTGCGTGTGTGCATGTGTGAGAGAGAAAGAGCAAGCAGGGGAGGGGCAGAGTGAGAGAAGGGGACAGAGGATCCTATGCAGGCTCTGTGATGACAGTAGAGAGCCCAATGCAGGGCTCGAAGTCACGAACTGCAAGATCATGGCCTGAGCCAAAGTCTGGCACTTAACCATCTGAGCCACCCAGGCACCCTGACAGTATATATTTTTATTTAAGGTTGAAAATAACTTTTAAATATTTCTGATGCAAGCTTATGTTTTGTTTTTGGTTTGTCTCTTGTAGGAAAAAACTGTATAACTATTTTTATCTGGGACGCCTCAGTGGCTCCGTTGGTTAAGCATCCGACTCTTGATTTCAGCTCAGGTCATGATCTCACAGTCATGAGATCAAGCCCTGAGCCAGGCTCTGTGCTGGGCATGGAGCCTCCTTAAGATTCTCTCTTTCCCTCTCCTTCTGCCCCACTTGTGTTTGTGTACTCTCTCTCTCTTTCTCTCAAAAAAAAAAAATAATAATGTATTGTGTATTTTTGTTCAGCCCTCAAATACTTTTTGAAGTAAGCAAGACATAAATGAATAATTAACTGTAACAATAACCATAAAATTATATGTAATAATAAGTCACAAATCTAACAATAATAAATGAATTAAGGGTTTTCTTTAAGTGCTTTAAAATACATACTCTCTACTTAATACTCAACATTCAGAAAAATGGCTAGGGAAAGTGTTTTGAGGGTCTTCCTAGGCCAGACTTTGCTCAACACACGCTTCGTAAAAGCCCATGTAACCATTTGCTGGGCTGTGCACAGAGGGTAGTAGAGATGAGGGAGGCACACCGTGCCCTGGAGCAACGAGCCCTGGTGTCTCACGAGCACAGCTGCCCCCATCACATTTATGAAACAAACTAACAGACGTCTTGTGTGGGTATCTTTCTTTCTAGTTATAAAAACACCTTTAAGATAAAAAATCAAATACCACTGAGCACCATGTGGATAACCAACTGTACGGACAAAGTGGGAGATACCAGCATCAATGCTGAGAGGTCCTTCATCTTGGGCTGGCCCACGGTGAACTTTGTGGCCACCTTCAGGTAAGACTTACAGCTTGGTCTTGTATTTACATGGGTTAGAAAGGAAAACATTTTAACCTGATTGTATATCAAGCCAGTGACTCACTTTTGAACCTCCATCAATGACACTTGTTTGCCTTGTACTTTCTCCAAAAAGGTTTTTATGTGCAAATGTAAGGAATAAGATAACATAGAGTGGGGACTACTGGAGTCACTTCCTTTGGTTTTGATCAGTGGTCTTTCAAGTGTGCTCTAGGAGCCACTTGAGGAGTTGGGTGTTCTGGGTATGTGGAAAGAGAATCAAGAGAGTGTGGTTCTAGGGCCTCACTCCAATATCCTGCCCCCTAATTCCCAGGGAGTTCTCTGTGTTTGTAAATCATAGGAATGTTTCTCTTGAGCAAGTACTATTAAATAGTCCAGTTAAATTTGAAAAATTGCTTTTATATTCCCAAGTTAATCCATTTAAAAATAAGATGTAATTACTACAAATAAATTAATTATGCCATCGAATATGAGATTGCCTGAATTGCCGTGTACAGATTGTCTTAGTTGGTATCTATAGAGAGGTGACAGTCTAAAGCAAAAGTTTGATTTCATGGAGTAGGGATTAGTTGTGCAAGACACATTTTCAGGCTGACATGAGGATGGGGAATGTGGCATCCCGAGAGACATTCCTGGTTTTACAGGGGTCATGCAGCATTTACATCTGTTGTTTGAAACAACCACACCCCAAGTCTCATTCTTGCTTTACACAATGAGTGTTCATCACATGAACACATCACCCTTCTTTCTTCTCCTCGCCCCACTCCACCAAAATCTCACGTGTCATCATAAAGATGAGACAACGAAAATGTTTACAAGTTGTTAATTTATTAAATTCCGTAATGCAGCTGTTGACATAATGAAAAATTTTCAAAACTTACTGGGAAGAAATGTGGATGTATATCATCTCTGCATGTCTTCTTTTCCATGACATATTTCTGAAAAGATTATCAGTTCCTATTGCTTAATGGCCTCTCCATGTTGCAAATGGAAGGAAATAGTTTCAGTTGATAATATATAAAGTCTTTGATTAGGGAATTTCCAAGAAACTTTTTTTTCCTAATGAGAGAGAAAATGCGGAAGCCAGGTTTGCACGTTAGGTTAGTTAAAAAGCTGTATAAATATATATAAGGCATTTATAAGAATGCCTGGCACCTACTGCTTTTGTTACTTGTTATTATTACTGTTCTGCAGATTGGCATACATATTTAGAAGCTATGTCCATGCAGGTTGGGATGCTAAATGGGTGTTCCATTTTTCTGATGAAACAGATCTTGAAAATGGTGATGGAGGGAGTGGGGAGCAGTGTTGCTGGTAGGAGTATAAAATGTGGCAGCCACTGTGGATAGTTTGATGGTTCCTCAATAAGTTAAACAGAATTATCATATGACCCAGCAATGCCACTTCCAGATATATACCCAAGAGCAATTAAAAACATGTTCATACAAAAATTGATACACAAACGTTCATAGCAGCATTGTCGATAATAAGCAAAAAAAAAAAAAAAAAAAAAAAAAAAAAAAAAAAAAAAAAAAAGGAAACAACCCAAGTGTGTATCAGCAAATAAACAAAATGTGGCATAAGAGCTGGAGACAGTGGGAAATGGAGAGCGACTACTTAATGGACACTGGGTTTGCTTTTGGGTGATTAAAATGTTCCAGAACTAGATAGTCATGATGGTTGCACAATAGTGAGAAGGTACTAAAGGTCACTAATGTTCAATGTTATGTGTAATTTACCACAAAAAAAAAAAATATGCTAGTAAGTGATAAGTCCACATATGAATAGGGTTTAAAACATTCGCATTTTTTTGCTACTAAATCCTAGGGAAACTTTAGCACAGAAAATAACCTTTAGTAATTTAGCCGTAGATGGACTGATTTTGCTCAGAGGATCATAGTAATGAAGAATAAGTTTTCTAGGAACTAATTTAACATATTACAATATGCTAATATGTATAAAGAAATAAAATATTATGGGTGTTTTTTCCTAAAAAGATATTCTTATTTCTAGGCCAAGATAGTTCCATCCAAATGCCAAATTTCTTAAGTACGATTTAATTTGAATGATAATGTTTCTTTATATTTGAATAGCACTTGCAGGGGCAGGAACACTCTGAGGTAAAATTAACTTTTTCCAGTTCTGGAAACTGAAACTCAGAGTGGGTAAGCAACACGCCCGTGATCGCATAGCTTGCATCACATAGTTACAATTAAGCGTTTAGATTAGAAACCAACCTTTCTTCCCCTTTAGGATCTATTTCCCATTATTGTAATACTGCTCATAAATGAGCAGGGTCCATCAAAAGCTCGATTGTGAGGAGAGTACAACTTACACATGCAACCACATCAATAATAACTGGCTGCTGCTATTTTTGTCTGAATGGTGATCTTAATAGTTTGAGTTTGATTTTTATTCCCATTTCTTAAATTGCAGGTCTTCCGAACTAAAGGAAAAATGGTGCTCTTTCCTTCAAAGGTATTTTGTCAGTATACATATTTTAAATCTTTAACCCGTGATAAAAGAATGCAAATTTCTTCAAAATCATGCCCTCAAACTCTTCTCCTTCTCCTTAGTATTATTAGACTATTCCAAATAATTTCTTATTTAGATTTACCCTGGCTGCCACTGCAGATAATGTGCTCTCATTTCTATGCATATTTTGCTTATTTTTGATGAAGTTCTGGTTATCACTCTCATCTTCCCCTTCTTTCCAACCTAATGATTGGAGCTAGCATTATTCCCAAAATATACATTTCCTTAAGTGCAGATTACTCACTGATTGTCAAAGCAACTGCTAATTCCTGCCCTGGAGCCCAGGAAGGGGCTGGGCCCTCCAGTCTAGGTAGGAAAGCTTTGACCATTGGATCTGCTGCTCAGATCTCACATCATGACAGCGATCTGTTGTTTTATGAGTCATGTCTCATTTTCCTGAAATATTTTTGCATGTTTTCTTCCAGCCCATAATTTGATTTGGCTATTTATTTATATGCTTTTTTTAAAATGTTTATTTATTTTGAGAGAGAGAGAGAGAGAGAGAGACAGTGAGTGGGGAGGGGCCGAGAGGGAGGGAGAGAGAGCATCCCCTGAGCAGGTTCCATGCTGTCAGCACAGAGCCCAATGCAGGGCTTGATCTTATAAACCATGAGATCATGACCTGAGCCAAAATCAAGAGTCGGATGCTTAACCAACTGAGCCACCCAGGTGCCCCTACATGCTTTTAAAAAATGACACAGTATGTTGAAAATATTAGCAACATAGATTGATTTGAAAGTAAGCTAATAGCTAATTCATCCTACTCAATTTGGGTTATTATTGAATTTGATTAGGTACATCAATCTAGCCAAAGAGAAGGACCAGCCAAAAAGCATTCCCCTCCAAATCTTCACTGGAGACATCGAGAACTGTGGCGGTGTAAGTGTTTTTAAGACTAAAAATTAAATTCCAAGTTCCTGATTCAGACTGAATGAAAGAGATGGAGATGGAGGGGTAGATAGGGAGGGAGGGAAGGAAAAAAAAATGAGGTAGAAAGGAGAAAAGAAAAGAGAGGAAGAGAGAGTATTTAAAAAAGTGCCATGTGGGAAAATGGATTTCCCTGTCTACACGTATGTCTTTGTATACATAAAAAGTGAATCTTAGGTAATATGAAGCAAGAGGAATCCATGCTAGCTACAGTGCATAAGCATGGAAAAATATTGCATGTTAAATGCCCATAATATTTCTCTGAATCCTTCTAATAGCAATTACAGTGGCTTCTAGTAAAGTGATTTTCACACGCAGGTATATCTTACTAGAATTAAAACATTTTGTTCCAATGGTCACTACTTATGTACAGAATGGTTTGGATTGTTTCCACAGTTCTTTTTTCCCCATGATGTTTTATTTGGTATAATTGTAAACTTACAGAAAAGTTGCAAAAATAAAAATAGTACAAAAAACACCCCCTGTACTCTTTACCTGGATTCACCTATCAGTAACACTTTACTCCATTTGCTTTACCATTTCTTTTCTTTCTCTGTCTCTATTATGTGTATGTATACACTTATTTTTGAGGCTCATACAAACACCATGGCCCTTTATCCTTAAACCTAAGTATTTCCTAAGAATAAGGGTATTCTCTTCTATTACCACCCTGTAGTTATCACCTTTAGTAAATGTAACATTGGTATAATGCCTTACCACGCCATTAGTGTTCCCATTTTGTCAGTTGACCTTGATAACGTCTCCTTTCTAGTACAGGATCCACTCAAGAGTCAGGTATTACATTCAGTCGTTATGTCAAATGCAGGGGAGCTTTGAAAGGTCTTTTGTTCCAAGGAATATCAGGATTGACTTGAGCTCAGAGGGATGACACTTTTAAGGGATCAGCAGACTTCTATCTCACTTTTTTTATGCTACTGGAGAAAAAAAAATCAAACCAATTGCCCCAGTTATTTGTATAAAGTTTGATTTCTGAAATTGTAGTGCAGTAGCCAAGACATTTACAATGATATTTTTGGGTATTTTTAAATGACACTTTTTTTTCTGTAACACTTTACAGTAGCTCGAGATCACACAAAATAGTATTTGAAGGTGGAAAAAGACGTAGTTGAAGACAGTTACTTCCTGGCCAAAGGAAAGGCCGTGCAAATATTTTGATCTGTTTCCAGGCACCAGACAGATGCACTGAATGGAGAGGAGAGCAGAGACACAGCAGAGCACATTCTCGTCTCTGCCCGCTTTGATTTCAACTGTGGGAGTGGGTTACACTCAGAATGCTTCATGGAAAATTAGTTTGAAATTTTTAAAAAATCAACTTATGTATAATTTACACAAAAGAAACATTTCTAATGGTCTTCATTCATTCCTAAGATCCAAGTTTCCCCCTAACACAGTTTCATTTCATCCTAGAGAAAGGATCCTCAGCATTTCTTGTTGTGCAGATGTGGTGTAGGCAGATTTCCTTCTTTTATCTGAAAATGGCTTTATTTCACCTTTACTCTTGAGAGATAGATTTGGGGATACAAATTGTTTGCAAATTGTTTCCTTTCAGCCCTTTCAAGGTTTTGCACTCTCTTTTCCTTTCTGTGCTGATGAGTAGTCTGGGGTCATTCAAACACCAATCCTCTGAAGGTGATTTGTCATTTTTCTTTATCCACTTTCAAGATTTTCTCTTTATTTTTGGTTTTTCGTAGTGTGGCTACGAAGTATCAAAGCATGGTTTTCTTGAATCTGTCCTATTTGGCATATTCTGAACTTCTTGAATTTATAAACTTGTCTTTCATCAAACTTGGGGACTTTTAGTCATTATTACCTCAAATATTTTCTTCCCCATTTTCTTTCTTCTCTCCTTCCGAGATTTCAATTATATGTGTATTAGACCCTTTCATACTGTTCACAGGTCCCTCAGACTCTGTTAATTTTTTTCAATCTTTCTTTCCCCTTTTCTTCCTCAGACTGGATAATTTCTATTATCTATTTTCCAAAATCACTGACTGCCATTTGTCGTCCCCATTATATGATGTTCCCTAGCCAGTAAATTTTTTCTTTAATATATTTTTCAGATAAAAAAATTTCTATTTTTAAATATATTCAATTTCTATGCTAAGATGCATCCCTTTTTGTGTATTATGAGCATATTTTCATTTGTATCATTGAGCATTATTGTAATTGCTGTTTTTGCCTAACAATCTGAATATCTAGATCACCTCAGAGTTGGCTTTAGCTCTTGAGAATTGATCACATTTTCCTGGTTTTTCATATGAGAAAAGAAGGCAATATTTCCCTTTCTTTTAAATAATTTCAAAAAACAGTTTATTTCTTTAAAAGTTATTTGTTTATAAAGAGCTCTATCTACTGAAATTTGTGTTTTGGAGAACATATGACATGCAGGAAAATTTACATACATCCTTGGAATTACTATTTTGAACACAGTGTGTTCCTTATGCCTTGAAAACCATTATCTGGCAGACCAAATAAATTAAGGAGTGATATTAGCATTTCAAAAGAGATCTTTTTTTTTTTTTACATTAAAAAGATTTCATGGGAGACTTTTTAAGTTGTATTGAAAGGTTTTCAGACATCTTAAAAAATAGCAGAACCATTACTTCTAATTAAATCTCAAGCTAAGACCCAGTCAGACTTTTGAATCCTCCTAGATAATTTAGCATAGGAAGCCCCTTACATCCCTGACTTTGAGTGCTCTGATCTCTGCTGCTGGGTTCTAAACATTTTTTTATACTCCTTAAAGCTACAGGTAGTTTGAAATCAATGAATGCTTTTGTTTATAAAAGTCTGATTATCAACTTTCATGGCCATCTGACATATCAAATAATTGCATTCCATTCATAAGAAGAAAAATACAATGAAAGGCCAAGTAATGAATTATGAAAGGGTTTCTTTTAACTCTGTTCTTAGTATTTTTAAGGCCTATGAGTGTCCACTTGTGCTGTTTGCCTTCTTTAAGCACTCTTTATCAAAGGACATAGGCCTCATTGCCTAATAATATTATATATTGTCTTATTGGTTACATATTGTCTTATTTTAAAAAGAATTTTTTTAACATTTATTTATTTATTTATTTATTTATTTATTTATTTATTTGAGAGACAGAGCATGAGCTGGGGAAGGGGACAGAGAGAGAGGGGGAATCACAGATTCCGAAGCAGTCTCCAGGCTCCAAGCTGTCAGCACAGAGCCTGATGCAGGGCTCGAACCCATGAACCATGAGATCATGACCTGATCGGAAGTTGGCCGCCTAACCAACTGAGCCACCCAGGCGCCCCTCATATTGTCTTATTTTAAAATGTCTTTTGGAATTCAGATAGTCTTATAGATAATATCTCAGAATCCCATTAATCCCTTTCAGGTAATTTTCTGTAAACTGTTTTCCTAGTTTTGTAGAGCAGTTTCTCAATGTAAGGTATGGTAGAGAGCTATTATAAATAATAACCCACTCACTGGCAGAGTTGGGAATGGAATGTAAATTTCTAAACTTTTCAATCTCATCTCCTAGACTCCTTGGTTTTATTTGTCTCAACAGATTTCAACAATGAAAACCTTAGGAACTATGATGCCTGACACAAAGAAAGTACTGACCAAATAGTAATTTTTTAAAAATGTCTTTTATAGCTAGTTCTTATTCTGATTTTGCTGAAACTGAGTGTGTAATTGCAAATGAATAAAGCCATACTATATAAAAACACAACTCAGGAAGAGAGAAAAACATCCAGCTCCTCTTTTTTAAACTATCCACTCTGCTCCATTTTGGAACTAGCTTTATGGAGCTGAGGATCAGCCCATGCATCTTCTTGGGATTCTCAGTCTTTTGTTTGTTTGTTTTGTTGCTTAAGCTGCTGTATTTTGTGTGCCACAAATCCGTTAAGAGAAATATATGTTTTACTGCTTCCCACTAGCTTCATGTTATATAAAGAAATGAAAACATAATTAAGAGTGTATGCTCTTCATGTGCTTTATTTTGTCATTACCTGAAAGCAAGCTTTGCCTTTAGAATATGGGTAATAATTTGACAATAATTAGTCACATGGTTTCATTTTTTTTCGATTTATAGCAATTTTTCTTTATTTCTTTTCTATAGACTGTAACTGTAACAGTGGCAAATTCAGACACAGCGAATGACATTATCAACATGTCACTACCAATGCTAGGAATAACTGTAAGTTGCCTGCAAACTATTTTTAGTTAAAAACCAACCTTGACCTTTGAGATTTGTGTGTGTGTATGTGAGTGTGTGTTGTGCATCTCCCATTATAAAGCAGCTGATTATTAAAGATATCATAGCCATATTTTGCCCCCCACCCCAAATTGAGAAATTGAAGGCAGTGAAGCTATATACATGGGCGCTCTTCTGGTATTTCCATTTTCAATTTTGTGCAAATTCAAAATCAGAGCAAAAAATTGGGCTATAATTTTAGAGTGCTAATAACAACATGCAGTTCACTGTAGACATTCTATACATAGACAGTAAAATATTTCAAAATTTCTAAATATTTCCTTCTCTAGTGGACTCTTCTTTCTGTGTCATCTTTCCTGATTCCTCCCCATCACTATTTACCCTGGTCATCACCCAAGGACTCAATCTCAGTTTAATGAGTCTTAAATTACATGTTTTGCTGTAAATGTTGACATGAAGACCACATGGCTAGAAGCTACATCCCCTTGATATAGGTCCTAAGGATGAGACTGCTAATGCCCCTTCGGAACTGGTAAAGAAGACAAGTTCTGACTGAGACCATGGATCTGGGGGCATCTGTGTACACATCACTTTCATCCAGTTTTGTTTCAGCTCCTTACGTTTTGATGGGGCTAGTATGAGTTGCTGATTTTTTTTTTTTTTTGATGAAAGAAATGGGTACATATATATTTTTTAATTTTTGTAACGTTTATTTTTGAGAGAGAGAGAGAGAGAGAGAGAGAGAACATGAGCAGGGGAGGGGCAGAGAGATGGAGACACAGACTCTGAAGCAGGCTCCAGGCTCTGAGCTGTCAGCACAGAGCTCGACATGGGCTGGAACTCATAAACCACAAGATCATGACCTAAGTTGAAGTGGGATGCTTAACCGACTGAGTCACCCAGGCACCCCAGGGTATATTTGAGGGGATGCTTTGTAAGGGAAAAGAGAGGGTGACAGTCAGGTTGACAAAACTGAGGGAGCACTTATAAAGCACAGCTTCTTATATAAAATCCTCTGTAAGTGTGAAAGTGTCTTGCTATTGTGACATGACATAATTACAAGATTTGTATTGAAATTCTATCTGAACCAATGGTATAATAAAGGCCCTTAAAAATTCAGGGCAACCAGAATTTGGCATAAGAACTCAATTATTTCTGTAAAAACAAAATTTAGTAATACATTTGAAATAAAATTGAATTGATATGTAGTGAGTAAAACACATCTCTACATTGATTTCTAACAATGCTTATGATTGTATATCATACACATCTCTGTATGATATATACACCCTGCATAAGAATTAAATCTTGGAAAGAGAGTGAGTGGTTTTAGAGATGAAGTTGGGAAGACTGATTAATGATATTGTTCATTTTATTTCATGTTTATGATTTTCCTTTGCTTGAAGTGACCCATCTCACTAGACAACAATTTCCATTTTAATGAAGAACTGGGGTTATTTGTCTTATGTATGTCTGATTTAAGGGATTCCAACATAGTGTTTCTGAACCCCACCTTAAGAGAAAAGATTCTTATTAGCTCTTACTTCCTATTTGCAATACAATTTTGAGCTGATTTAGCTGTGTGCGTGTGTGTGTGTGTGTGTGTGTGTGTGTGTGTGTGTGTGCTTGTGATTCTTTCCATACCTCTGACCCTCCTCAAGGCAAGGCCATGATTTTTAATCAGAAGTCAAAGACAAGCATAGTACCTATCATCAACAACTCCATTTCAAACATATTTTACTTTATCCTCCTAGAAGACTCTCTAAAATAGTTCAGCAATCTTTATAATTTAGACTTGTTAGTTTCAAGTGGGATTTCCAATATTATCAGGCAATAATTCTTCACAGAGTGATTGTTTTCTGCATCTGATTTGTTCTCCAGGTTAGAGTTCTTGTCCCTTCTCTCCCTGTAGTGGGGCTTGACTTCACTTCCTATCTCCTCAAAGCTTCTTGGGCATTTGTCTGCTCAGGGCTGTTGAGCTATTATGGCCTTTCAAGTTACTTTGCTCAGGAATCGTCATGGCAGGGTGTGTGGCTCTCTGGACAATATGCTTGTCTGTGCAGGGACATTTGGAGGCAAAAGCCAACACTATCCAAGGAGTCTAGAGACAGCAGAAGGCAGGACTTCTGAGATTAGACTTTTCCTCCTTGGTGAAGGGGCACAACTGTGGTTTCTTATGCCAAGGGCCACCCACGAAGTGAGGGCTGGATTGCACTGTGGTTCTCCAGCCTTTATCAAGAAATGACAAGAATCTGAGAAGGTCTACTGGAGGCTGTGAGGGGAACAAGTTAACAAGTGTTGTTAACTCAAAAATTGCAGCTACCTCCATAGACCAAATAGCATTTATACCGGCCCTAATTCTTTCTTTTTCAAAACATAGAAATGCTAAGAAAATGTGTTCTTCAAGTACTGTGAAAGATTTGTTGTGATGCATAATCTTTTTGTTTCCAAGGGCTCTGAGAAAGACTATCAGCTGTGGGTCAGTTCTGGCAAAGGAGAAGCCCCACAACCACTAATTGGTAAGTGTCAGGGACAATCTAAGATGGGATTGAGTAGGTTCAGAATTGTACCTCTAAGTCTCAAGGTAATGATTGTTCTGTCTTTAGCTTAAATACCCTTAAAAGTGAAAATCACATGCAGTATTCACTCATACATTTATCAAATAATTCCTGGGCACTTACTCTTTAGCAGGCACTGATAACATGTCTTCATTCAGCAGCTTATGGTCTAGTTGGGGAGAGAAATGTAAATTTTTCTTCTCTATCGTTTTTTTACCTGACAAATAGACATGTATTGAAAGTTTTTGTTTATTTTTTATTTACTCACTTATTTACCCACTTACTTAGGTATGAAATCAAAATGGATTGGAATTTCTTTTTCCCATACATTTATTTTTCATATTTCAGTCTTGAATTCCATTTCCTAACTACTAAGTAGCCTCTATTTTGAGAGTCCTCTAAAATCCAGTCATGTCTCTGAATCCAGTTATAAATATGTACCAAACACTTGTCCTGTGCCCATAAGTTTTTCAGCATAATAAAGAAAATGAGATAATCACATTTAAACTCGTCCAGTCTTCACTGACTAAACCACCTGTACTTTGCTGTTTCTCAAGCTTTTTCCAGCATGGTTCTTAAGGTTGTTGATAAACACATTGCACCTCTCCTAAAATAGTGATTAGCATGAGTGATCTAAAAAAGAAAAAAAGAAAAGGAAAAAAAAAAATCTTTGGATTAGCAAATTTACTCAGTGTTTACCAGAAATAGAAAAATTAAAACAAGAAGACAGGATCTGTAGCAGACCTTGAAGTACAGTAATGTATAGTAATAGTGACAATGATTTCTGCTCGAAATCTTAGAGCATTCCCTCTTATATGCATTTTTTATCCTTTTAATAATCCTGTGAGGCTATTACTCTTTTTCAAGTGATCTAAAGAATATCTTCAACTGACCTGGAAATCTAAACAAACAAATTTTTTCTATGAAACATATATTCTCAGAGAATCACCAACCACATAGCTGACTCCACCATTTAATGTTTTTGTGTTAACGTTGACATCTTGCAAAAGTCGTTCAGCAATAAAAGGGGAAAAAATTAAATACTTAAATACATTTATCTTAATAAAGTGCATTGATTTAGATAAAACAATGTAGATGATAACTTTTGAGACTTGGAACAGCTTTACGCATGAAGGCAGCTCTAAGGAATCCGAAGAGCCTGTCATTCATGATGATCCTTTAGCAGCATTTGAAATGTCTTTCTTAACATGCTCTCAATTCTCAGTTGCGGATTAACTGCTGGCTATCTTGGTGATTTGGTTGTACTGCTGTCATAGAAGCTTCTTTTGCCTTAAAGGAGGGAAGTCACTGTGGTTCTCGTGAACCGAGCATTGATGTTTCATCTGTGCCAGATGAAAAGGAGCAGCAAAAGCTCCCCAAGTTACATACAATAATAAACCAGAAATGACAGAAAGAGAACTTTCATTCTATTCTTAAAAACTGAAATCTGTATCACAGCACAGGGTCTTTTGAAAGTTCTATGGAGAGGAAACAATTTAAAACATGAAAGAGCAAAACAAATCACTTGGCAGGCAACTGTTCATGATTTGGGGTGTGGTTTTCCACTTTGTAAACACCATTTTGCACTTTGCTGCTGAGTTTCCAACACAGTACAGCCTTCCCTCTGATCCTTGCTTGCAGGACAGCCCTGGTAGGGAGGGTGGCAGTGGGAGGGAAGCACAAAGCATAAAGGCCACCCATCCCATCCCATCACCCTTGAGTAGCTCTGGCTCTAGAACTGACAAAAGGAAATGAAAAATCTGTTTGACTCATATCATGTGTGAGAGAATAGTGACCATAGCAAGTCTTAATACTGTGGCCAACTGGGGCACCTGGGTAGCTCAGTGGATTAAGTGTCAGACTTCAGCTCAGGTCATGATCTCGTGGTTTATGAGTTCGAGCCCCGCGTCGGGCTCTGTGCTGACAGCTCAGAGCCTGGAGCCTGCTTTGGATTCTGTGTCTCCCTCTCTCTCTACCCCTCCCCCACTCATTCTCTCTCTCTCTCTTTCTCAGGAAATGAATAAATGTTAAAAAAAAATTTTAAATACTATGTTCAATTGTTCAAAAAATATTAATCACCAATTTTTATTAATATATTTACTCATTTCCTTATAAGTTTGTGGGTAAGCATTTCAAAGGATGAATGTAAGACTCAGAGGGGTCAAGTAGTTTGCCTAAGGTGTACAGATCTAGTTAGTGTCAAGGCAGAAACTAGAAGGCCTTAAATATTGTCAGATGGAAACAGCAAAAGCCAACATTGTGCAGAGCAATGCACTGATGAATCTATGTATTCCAAGCAAAGGAACATGATTTAACTTTTCTTTTCTCTTTTTAAAATCTTCTCCTTGAGCACCTGATTTCTGCAGCGTGTCCCCCATAAGAGGGTATATGGTGTATATGGGTATATGGGAGAGGAATCCCCAGGAGAATAGCAGCATATACCAATGTGATGCATACACTCATGTTAAGGTAGGTTTGATGACAGCCATCAGCACCAGCCTGAATTTACATTTAGACTTTTCTCCATTTAGGACATGAACATCCCTATGGAATTAAAATGAGCCATCTTCCATCTACTCCACTGCTGCCACAGGGACCAGAGGCCTCCATCTCTCCTTCCACCCTCCAGGAGCCCCTCCTTCCAAAGGAGGGGTTCCCAGAGATGCAAGGCCAGTTCATCCTGAAGCCCAGGCACCCAGTGCAGAACCAGCAAGGGAGAGGTGAGCCCCTTCCCTTCCTTCAAGTGCCTTCTTTTAGCTCATATCTCCACTCTTGAACACAAATTCATGACACAGAGCTTATTCTCCGTGTGGGGGTGGGGAGGGACAGTATAGGCAAGAACCCAATACCCACCCAGAATCAGGCTTAGAGAAACTCCAAAAGGTCTGAAATCAAGACCTGACTCACTTCTCGGAAGGCCGTTTGTTTTAATTCTTCTAGGTAGACCCTTACTCTTTTCTCTGTATCCCCAGAGCACTTTCCACATACTATTGTGTGTGTACACATCTGTGTGTCTTCTTAGAGCACAAGATTTTTATGGTCTAGAAACATGTTTTCCCTATTCCAGGGTTTTGTCTACTATCTCAGGCCATCACAGGAGGTGTGATGTCTAGTCTATGTGGCTTAAACACACCTGGAACAGAAGAACTTCAGTGGAGTAAAGAGTTACAGAATTGAATTGCATTTATTCTGGGCTTAGGCTGAAGTGGCCTTGGGTTCTAGTTAGAACTGAACTCTTAATTCTACCCCCACTTGCCACATCTGTTTCAGACCCATGTCAAGACTGGAACTAGATGATCTTTATGGTTAGGGCTTTTTAATCTTCTGTCTTACTATTTTTCCCCACCATGCCAATATTCCCTCATTGATATTTCATTCTCTGATGAAAATGTGATATTAACCTGAGAAGCACTGGGGTCAAAAAAGGAAGTATTTTTATTGTTATTATCATTATTCTATAACCTCAAAGTTTCAAAAATTTTATTTTTTAATATTCATACTCTATCTCGATCATTAGGAAGTGCTAACCCAAATCTTGCCAGTACTGTTTGAGAAAGGATAGATTTCTATCGAGTTAGCTTGTTTAATCATTCCCATATTTTTCATGTCTATAGCATATATTTTTATTAGTCACAGAGGCAACATGAACTCTAACACCAAATAATGTACATTACAAAAGGTCCAGCTAAGCCCAAAAATGTCTTTGAGAAAGTATAGGACTTCAGATATACTTGCTTTTTTGTTTTTAAATGTTTGTTTATTTTGAGAGAGAGAGAAAGAGAGAGACAGAGAGTGACATGAATGGGGGAGGGGCAAGGGGAAAGGGGAAGAGAGAATCACAAGCAGGCTCCACGCTGTCAGTGCAGAACCCCACATGGAGCTCAGTCCCATGAACCATGAAATGACCTGAGCCAAAATCAAGAGTCAGATGCTTAGCCACTCAGACTCCCCATGTATTTGCTTTCTGTATATACTCATGGAGTAGCTAGATTTATGGCTTTGTCGTATATGGCTTTATACGACACTCTTCTTAAAAGCATTCTTAATTAAAGCTCAATAATGGAATATATTTGGATAGTTTTCCAAAAAATAAAACTAGGGTAAGAGTAGGGAAACCAGGTTGCATACAACAACTCAATTTATATATTAACTTGTATCTTAAGCAAACATTTGTACATTTTGATGTACAGGAATCTCCTTCCAGATTTAAGAATGTATTTGCTTTCTTCCTTCACTCCTTTTAAAATGTCAGGGGTATGGACTTCAGGGTGGGAAGAGAGAGCCTTAGTTAGGCAAAGTGGTGGCATTCCTTCATGATTGCATACCTTCTAGAGGTTGCAAAATGAAACCGAGAATGGGAGTGAGGTCTCCTTTGGGGGGAAGAGACTGATATCTAGACTGCCCTAGGCCCTCTCAGCAAGGAAATTACTTTTATTAAGGCTGCCATGAGCCAAGCCTTGTGCTGAGTAGTACATTATATTTAGTTCAATGAGTTGTAGGTAGCATCATTTACGTTAAATTTCAGCAACCCGAAGCTTAAAGATTTTTGAGCAACTTGCCTAAGTGGCAGAACCAGGACACTTCTGGTTCTTAGATCTGGTCTCTTTGATCAAGCACCGTGAGTGTTGCCACCCATGTAAGTGGACATGGTGATGCCCTCACTACATCCCAGAGAAGCCAGTGGATGGGTGTTTAAGGGTATTTGGTGAAATGTTGCTCATCTGTTTATCCAAGTTGTAACTTGACTTTTCTCTGGACTTTTAAAGAGCTCAGTTATTTAAGCAGATTATTTAAACAAATGTTAAGGTACCTTATAAGGAAAACATTGATAGCTGAGCAGTAGAAACTTTGAACTCAGTTTTTCCACTGCTGATCACCTTTTCTTTGTAAAGCTCTTCTTCTGCATGCCTTTGATAGGGAGTGTTGGATAATTAAAAACCATCTCCAGGTAGCTTGGTGGGGTGTCACAAGAAACACAACCACCTGGGGGCGCCTGGGTGGCTCAGTCGACTAAGTGGCTGACTCTTGATTTCGGCTCAGGGTCATGATCTTACAGTTCGGAAGATCGAGCCCCAAGCTGGGCTCTGTGCAGGCAGCGTGGAGCCTGCTTGGAGTTCTTTCTCTTCTCTCTCCCTGCAGCTCCCCCTGCTCACATGCACTTGCATACACACACTCTTTCTCTCTCTCTTTCACAAAATAAATAAACTTGAAAGAAAGAAAGAAACAAACAAACAAACACAGCCACCTGGATAATCTTCCCACATAGCCAGTGTGTAAAGACTACTTCCCATGGACCCCCTCTCCTACCCCCCGCCCCCGCATAAAGCCATCCATGGAGATGGCTCAGCGTAGAGGAGCCTCAGGCTGGCTGAGAAGTGGGGTCAGGCAGATTGTGTCATGAAAGGCAGATCCTTTTGATCAGAGACAGTGGAACATTCAGAAAACCAAAGAGGAAATCTAAGTCTGGGAGAAGACTTACTGTGAAAGCAGATGATTACCAAACTCTGCTTGATTTGAATACTCAATCTTTTTAGCTTTTAAAACTGGATCTGACACTTGAATCCACTGATCATACTTAACAAGAGGACACTAACAACTACAGGCTAAGTGCCCCATGATGCAGTATAATAGGTAGTAAATGGCACCAGAAGTATTGACCCTGAGTCTGATCAAGTCTCCAGTTTTAACTATCAGTTTGCTGGATATGGGGAAGAACACAGTAGCACCATAAGGATGGTATTAGCCAATTTCAGAATGTGGAGAATACTACACAAATGACTCAATTTCCCTCTTCTAGCCATAGCAATGAACATGCAGTAAAACATAAATGGAAAAAATTAAGGTTAATTAACTTCTACTACTGCTACTCTCATTTCTTCCTTAGGTTCAGGCCAGAAGACAGTTAAAAGGAATCCTTTCATAAACTGGGCCCTTAGGTGGGGCCCCAGAGCTTGCCAGGACAGCCAGTGCACAGCTCCACCTTCTGCAAAGCCAGCACAGCTCTTTGGAGTTTCCCTCATGGATGTGTGTGATAATGACCACCTGCCCTCCCCCATTCTGGTAGGTCTCATTTTGGTCTCTTGTTAGCCCTCCTGAGGAGGGGGAGCCCTGAGAGGCCAAGTGTTCTCATCCAAATCTACAACCAAATGGAAAAATAATTAGCCAGTTCCTGGATTTGGCTGAGAAGCTTTGTTTCTATTACTTCAAAGAATAAAATCTGATTTAGGTACTGCAAAGTCATGAGGCAAATACAACAGGAAAAGATAACTCTTGTCCATTCTCCTTGTTTCCACAAAGACCCACATAGGCCTGTTCAGACCAGCGAAAATATGGACTGTGTGCATGAATCTCTGAGAGTCTATCTCATCTTCACATTCTCTTTTCATTGCCTTCCTGAGCTCATATTAGTCTCCTTCAGCTGAGTCTACTCAATCGTACAACTCAAAATATCTCACGAAGCATAGTGACTCATCTTCTGGCAAATATGAATCTGTTAATACTATTTATTTTTGGGACAGAGAGAAACAGAGCATGAACGGGGGAGGGGCAGAGAGAGAGGGAGACACAGCATTGGAAACAGGCTCCAGGCTCCGAGCCATCAGCCCAGAGCCTGACGCGGGGCTCGAACTCACAGACCGCGAGATCGTGACCTGGCTGAAGTCGGACGCTTAACCGACTGCCACCCAGGCGCCCCTGAATCTGTTAATACTAATAGAATATGTCAAATGAAAACCACAGACTTCGGCCTGTCCTATCTCAAATTGGTGTACTGAATTGTCAATGTTAACATTTATTGAGTATCCAGGGTTTCTCTGAGCACTATACTAGATGTAGGGAATGTTATGCTACATATGAAGAAATTTATGATGTTACTTACATGCTAGGTACTACCCCAGTCCCTGCATTACAGCAAATTTAGGGGGTAGCTATGAATATCATCATCCCAACTCACAAATGAATTAGAAAAGCCTCAGTAAAAATGTATGTGCCCTGGGTCACACACCAGATAAGTAGCATAATAGAGTTCAGATCCTTTGGACTACCTGGCTCCAGCCCCTATTATCTTTCTACACTGCAGACAGAGGACATGAAGGTACAACTAAAGGCAATGAAAGACTCATGGGAAGGGAATGTAATCAGAGAAGGAGGAGAGAGTTTTTGAGCCTGATTTTAAAAGAGGGAAAGAAGGAGAAGAAGTAGGAATGGAGTATACAGTCACTTAAAGAGGAATAAGCAAATGGAAAATGAGCGTGGCAAAGAGATTCCCACACTTGGGGAATAGCATGCATGTAAGGGAACAATGGAAGAAGAATGGCGGGGTAGGAGAGAGAAGGGTGATTCTACAAAGGCCTTGACACAGAGACTAACTTTTTAAAAGTATAAATTCACTGAAAAGGAAAAAATCTGATTAAAACAAGTGTTTAAAATGGTTTAGTGTATGACTGTAAAGTGTATTTTTGGGTAGACAATATATTTAAAGACGCTGAAAAAACAAATCCAAATTTACTTTAGTCCTTCCAGCTCTAAAACACGGTACGGTCACATTCCCTAGCTCTTTCAAAAAGGAGGCAAGCTTGTGTTCTGAACTTATGGATATGAAATGTCATGTACTTTTCATTTCTTTCTATAGGATATGCTTTGCTTTATCAATCAAAAAGGGCCATTCACAGAAGGCATCTTCAGGAAATCAGCCAATATGAAATCATGCAGAATCCTGAAGGAGAAACTAAATTCTGGGGACAAAGTGAACTTGGACAGTGAATCTGTTCTTGTGGTAGCATCTGTCTTAAAGGTAGGGAAAGTTCTAGCATTATCTACACATGAGTAACTGAAGCTATTATTGGTGTCCTTCATCATGATTGCCCAAGAACCATAATAGGCATAATAGATTAAGTATCTGACAAACTGAAATACACGTCACAAAGTCAAAATTTAAAGAAGCTACTTTAGGAGTTAAAAATCCCATATTTCATCACACCCCACCCTCCCCACCTTCACTCCTGAAGACACCATGCAAAGTACTAATACTAGTAATAATAAATTTCAAAAATATATGCTTACACACACAGAATATTTACCAAAGCAAATGTCCTGCTTTTGATGACTTTCTCACCACCCTCATAACAATGAAGGCAAAGTTTCCAAAAGAAAATTCATATTAAACATTTGAAAATAAGTTTATGATCAAAAAAGGCTCAATGAGGCCACCAAAATGTCTGTCCACTTAATCACTCTTTCCCATGTTTTTTAATGTGTTGTACTTTAAAAGCATAGGAACGACTTTACCAATTGTGCCTTTCACCTTTACCATCCTTGGCATCCTTTGTTAATATTTGTCATGTTTTATCCACCATCCCAAGGTTAAAACTACATGATAACCATTTCCTGCCACATGCCCCTTCTTATAAATCTAACTTTTAAACTGGGTGCAATAGACAAAATTAGTTTGGAATTCTGAAAATTCAATGGATTTACACAAAAAATAGATTAATTTTGAAATGCTACAGCTAAATCACAAGTATCCAGTTACATTTCTATAAGAGGAATAATAGAACAGAGAACGAACTTAATCCATCTTGACACTTGTTAACAGCTCTGAACAAAAATATGTTAATTTAGTAATGACTACAAACAAGTTACTAAAATTATCTTAGAATCTCAGTCACGTTTGGTCTTTCCTGATCCCCCATTAATGTTTGACCATATGATAAATAGAAATAGTCCAGAAATGACTTAGCTACCACAACTACACTGGGGCCATAGTAATATATACCAGTAATATACATAGAGGCATCAAGAAACAGGGGAAAAGAATGATGATACACCAGGTATGCAAATAGTAAGATGAGTGTTGCCTTGCTTTTCTACCAAGAGTTTGTAGATTCTTTCCTATTTCCATGTTATAAGCACAGACTAGGAAGGGGGTGGCCACTTATGGATATGGTTCATAGACATTTCTAAAGTTTTTTCTTCCTAAAGTTGACTGATCTTGGTGGAGAATCAGGCTTTGCAACCTCGACCTTCATAATATCATGTCAAACTAACTGGAGAATTGGCCTAAACTAGAAAGGACTATATCACAAGGATGACAATGAGTTTGCCATTAGACTGTCTACTTTTATACAGTTAAGAAAAGGAAAAATGATGCAAGTATGAGGGTAGCATTCTCCCAAGGAGCACATACACCTCAAGTCAGAAGACTTAGTTCTTTCTTGATATGTATGCAAGAGCACACGTGTGGTTTTTTGTTTGTTTCAGTACTTTTCTTGCTAGAATTAGGAGCTAGCACTGTGTCTAAAGAGCTAGCACTGTGCTATTTGCTATTTGCAAAAATGGGTATGTGTATTTCTGTACAAGAAGCAAATAGAATTTAAGATGGTCTATCTCTGGACCTGTCACTTTGTAGTAGTTTGTTAAAATGTACACAAAAGAGTAAATTACAGATGATAGAAGGGAGCTTTATCTTCATTTCTACCAAAGCCTAGGCTCTGCTTTTATGCTCTTAAGTTTTAGTTGGGAAAAAATCCAAGCACTGCTTGTGTGTGTGCAAGTCAATGGAGAGTGAGAACCGAGCTCTGTGTGGGTCACAGTTTGGGTATCTGTGAAGGAATGGGGACTGAACTCAATTTTTCAACTAAATGTTTTCCAGTATATATTTTCTATAAGAATTATATTTATTTACTTATTTATTTTTATGTACATAAGGATTTTCTTCGAAATATCCCAGGAAGCATATTTTCATCCGATCTCTATGACAAATGGCTTGCTGTTGCTGATCAAGGGAATGAGGAGGAGAAAGTAACTGCAGCCCAGAGGTAATGATGTAGTAATTACTCTACTCTGGGCATGTCTGAAAAATACAACCAACGTACTATTAGAAAAATATTGGCTTATAGTTTATAGCTTTGTCCACTAAAATAATGCCAAAGAGTTTCAATTCTTCACACCCATGGAGGCCAACTTAAAAACAGAGGCATGCCTTAATGCTATTATTGAATTCTTATGTTTCTCCTGATCTTATTAATGTGGAATCCCTGACCATGTTATACCTTCTGAATATATGAAACTGGTAGACAAAATCCACTGAGCTAAAAGGGCTGCTCCAGCATCAACTGCCAGTGATACGAACTTCAGTTTGTCAAACATTTAACCAGAGAAGTTTTATCTGGTTCAGGAACTGAATTCAGTGAAACATTATTGTATACGTTCATGCCTGGCACTCCGTTACAGTGGGTTGTGTTCTAGATACGCAATGAAGTACTCTGCTCCCTGTCTTTATATTTCCAACTTCCTAAGTGAAATGACTTGCCTTATTTAAAAGTGCATTTTTCTAACTTTAGGCTGTTAGACCAGCTGCCAAGAGTGAATGTTGTTCTCTTGCAATACCTTTTTGGAGTGTTATACAATATTGAGCAGCATTCCTCATCCAATCAGATGACAGCTTACAATTTATCAGTGTGTATAGCCCCAAGCATTCTTTGCTCATCTAATTCCTGCAGCTCGGGATTAGGAAGCAACTTCATAAAAAAGGTAATGAGAGCTCTCATTTTTATCCTCTGCTGAGTAGAATCCCTACTTTGAACCTGAAATTTGCAGTAGCAACTCTGATGGATCAGTTTTGTAAAGTGCACATTTTTGTCATGCTGCCCTGAAGTGGCAGGGTCCATTGTCTTGCTCTGGTGGGGTATGGCAAGGGGTGTTGTTAAGTGGGGAACTCAGAGCAGTTGAGTGGCTTTGTCCCCATCCAGGAGACTAAACACTAGATTGCCTGAACAAACCAGAGAGGAGTGCCATGATACAACAGAAAAGAGCCTGGGCTTTGGAGTTTGACAAGTCAAGGTTCAACTTTTAGCCTAATCCTTGAGGGACATGTAACCTTGGGCAAAGCCATGGTTTCCTCAGCACACAATGGTGACCACATCCAGCTCCTCTGGTCATTACTGGCACATCTTAGGTGGCTTGGGCAACATGAGCACCCATGGCTCCAAATACATCGGCCTTCCTCTGCCAGTTGTGGTTCATTTAGAAAAATACATGGCTACTATTTTGCATCTGCTATGTCATAAGGAAACTGGTAAAAGATTCCAGAATATCCTAATGGAACCACAACATGCTTAATAAGATCACAGCTCTTCCCCAAGCTCACCCAGAAAGTGAGCGTGAAGCAAGGTGATACATGAGGAAGTACTGCAGTTAGACAGACAGCCATGTTTTCTCTCCAGCTGCATGAGTTTTCCTTCACACACACACACAAAAAACGCAGAAGTCACTGCTTCCTAAGTTTAAGATACTTCTTCATTTAAGAAGTGGATTTCATAAGTTTTTGTCAATGCTTTATTGTTTTATTTTTTTAAGGCTTATTTATTTATTTTGAGAGAAAGAGAGAGAAAGAGAGCAAGGCAGGGGCAAAGAGAGAGAGGGAGAGAGAGAATCCCAAGCAGGCTCCTCACTAGCAGTGCAAAGCCTGACTGGGGCTCAAGCCCACAAACTGAACCATGAGATCATGACCTGAGTCAAAATCAAGAGTCAGATGTTTAACCGACTGAGCCACCCAGGCACCCCTGTCTATGTTTTATAAATTTTAATAAGATGTTATATATGTCAGTTACAGCTCAATAAAACTGGAAACAAATTTTTTTGAAAAGAAAAATTTAATAAGGTAGGTTATACTTTGAAAATTATCCTAGTTTTCAAGATGTAACCATTGATGTCAAAATGTTAGCTATTAAACAAGGTCACAAATTATAACTTTAGCCCACTTTTGAACAGCATTTTAAAATCTGTACCCAAATTATACTGGAAAGTATCACAGTTATTACTTAGAGAACTCTGCTTTCTATATATTTTTATCAACTCTGAATTTTTCCTCAGAATTCTTTCACATTTTTTGTTAGAATCCAAGATTCACATACAAAATGTGACTTGTAACTATGCCATATGAAAAAAAGTGCCTCATTTTTGTCTTTTTGTGTTACAGGTTTCTCTTGTACAATTTCTCATTGAAAACTGCCTCAAGATATTTGGGGAAGACATCACTTCCCTCTTGGGAGAGAGCTCAACGAGCTGTGATAACAGCGAGAATGCTGCAGGTACCATGAATAATTTAATTGGCTTTGGTAAGAAACAGACAGCAAGGTTGTCAGGGTTCATGGGAGATGCTTAGCCAGTGCTGTTCTAGAGCCCAGAGCACATCCCCAGGGCAATGATTTCCATCTGCGCCTTCTTCCGAAGTCTGGTTCACAGGTCAAGGGAGGTCTCACCTTGTTGTGAGACCAAAGAAAGGATAAGATGAGGTCTCTGGCTTCAAGAAGTTTCTACTGTGGATCATGATAGCATTTGGAGACATGATGGTATGATATAGTGTTTGGGAATTTTTTCAAACAAAATTTTAAATGGGTCCCGTATATATATATTATACTTTTATATATGTAGTTATGTATAATACATAATTATGTATTTATATTTATAATATATAAAATATAAAAATATTTATATATTTTACACATATATACATGTGTATATATATATGTGTAATATATATGTAGATATAAAATAGATGTGATTTGGTCAAAACCAGAGTGAGTGGCACGGAGCACTGCCTGTTTTATTCCCTCCTCTTTCCTTTTTCTGCCCAGTGATCCCTGGGGCACCACAGGATTCCAGTGCTCTTTGAAACAGGTTGGAAATAACTGGCATCATTGAGAAAAAAGGACTTGACTTGATGCTAAACAGCCTTTCCAAAGTATAAATTCCTGTGCCCCTGTTTACCAACTATGTTACCTTTGGCCAATTATACTAGCTCAGTATCAGTTTATTCATCTCTAAAATGTGGATGGGGGCACCTGGTGACTCGGTTGAGCATCTGACTTTGGCTCAGGTCATGATCTCATGGTTCGTGAGTTCGAGCCCCACTTTGGGCTCGCTATTGTCAGTCTGTCAGCACGGAGCCCAATTCGGATCCTCTGTCCCCCTCTCTCTGCCCCTGCCCCTTTGGCTCTCCCCAAAATAAAATAAATATTTAAAAAATAAATAAGTAAAGTGTGTATGAAAATAATGTCTAAATCCTAGAACTGTTCTAAAGATTAAGTAAGATAATGGATGCAAAATAAATTTGTAAATAAGGAATTAACAGGGCTAGGAGAAGTTCCCCTGAGACTAGAGCTAGTATTATTTTGAGCCTAGTGAGTCACAGCTACCTGGCGGCAGTCCATTTTATAAGACTGCTTAATTTTATATATATTTCTTTAGGAACATACATGTCTTCAGTAATTACGATGAGTCTAGTGTCAGGCCTCAGAATGTACTTATATAAGACAACTGTGTGTTTTTTATTTCATCAGTGACAGCACAACAACCTCTTGAATCCAAGCCAGCGGCGGTGATAGTGATTTACAAAAAGGCACAACTGCAGGATAATACCAAGACTTCATCTGGCATGGATCCACATAGCCACCTGTCTACAGTTCTCAAAGTCACTGAAGACTAGAATCTCCATAATGACACTTGATCCTTCCTTTTCCTCTATTTCATATAAAATAGGAAATATAAAGAACTCTTTTTCCAATGAATGAAAAATGAGCCCCTTCCAAGGCCCCAGTTTATCCCGTTTGAGTTTTTCTTTTCCTTGATCCCATTTATCCCTATTGAGGTAAGCTTCCCACAAAATATCTCTTCTATCTTCAATGCCTACCACATCATATTATATATTTATTGTATTGTTTTGCATTGTATAGTTTTATATTAATACAATAAAAATCACTCCCTAACTCAGTGGATCAAATGACCGTTTTATTTACTTATGATTCATATTATGAATTCCATGTATCTAATGGATTCATATTAACACTTCAGTGGAGGCCATCTGAGCAGTTCTGTCTCCTCTAAGGTCATTTGTACACTTGAACTAAGCTTGCAGTTCATCCTGAGTTAACTTATGTGTCTGTATATTGGTGTTGACTCTCATGTGGTCCCCATGTCTTCAACAAGCTAGCCTGGCCTGCATATGATAGAAAATGAGCTTCCAGAAGCAAGAAGCTAATGTGGGAGAGGACTGTGCAAAGGATCATGCAGAAGACAATGATTTTCAAGACAAAGAGGCATTATTTATTGAGATCACACATGAGCATCAAAACTCAAGGCAGCACCACTACCACTCACATCCTTTTATCCGTCAGCTTTTTTTTTTCAATCTTTATTTTTGAGAGAGAGAGAGAGAGAGAGCGTGAACAGGGGAGGGACAGACAGGCAGACACGGAATCTGAAGTAGGCTCCAGGCTCTGAGCTGTCAGCACAAAGCATGATGCAGGGCTCGAACTCCCGGACCGCGAGATCATGACCTGAGCCGAAGTTGGATGCTTAACCGACTGAGCCACTCAGGCACCCCTATCCATCAGCTTTTAATCAATTCTGTACACTGGAATTTCCTAAAGGGCATTCCAAGTGTAGTAGGAAGTATCTTTGAAATAATTGATTTTTACCTCAAGTATTCCTTGAGTATATCCTTCCCCCTGTCCCAAGCTGTCTTAAGAGACATTTCCTTAGGGAACAGAACCCTAGCAGAATATGAGGAAAAGGGAGCTCTTTGTTTCTTCTGAAATTTTAAAAATATAGCTTTTTAGGAAACAAAAACGACTCATGGCATAGAGTAAAAGATTTGTGTGGAAATCTCATGGGAAAAGCCCCAAACCATTAGATACATGGACATCAGCCCAATTTCCTAGAAACCTAAAGAAAGCAGGAAGCACTCATAGAATAGCTAAATTTCATGATAAGAAAGATGGGGCCCTGTATATTCACACAGTTTCTTGTATATAAACATGGAACAGATCAGTAAGTGGTATTCCCATCAATCTCAGAATACTATGAAAGAAATAGAACCACTGGATAGACATGTCTCAGCAACAATAGTACAAATCAACTCCCCAGGACCAGATAGCATTTAGGACATCACAGCAGATACTAGCATATATCAATGACACTGAGCACCAGATATACGCCACCCCACCATTTCACAGCCTCCTAAAACCTTGGCACTGGAAGACCCCAAAACACAGACACTCACAGAGGAAATTAAGAGATCCTGAATTTCTACCAATCTGGGAACAAAGGACCAAACTAGATACGAAGTGAGTTACTTAAAAATACAAAACTGTACACTTCTTAACATATTGGTCAATGTATAGACCGAGATTAGTCCCAACACATATAGAATAATTGGTCCATGCATTGTTTTCCCAGAAAGGGTTCTCTGGTCAAATAAGGTTGGGAAATGCTGGATTTTCCTTTTGGCAGTCAAATGTCCATTAACATATTAAAGTCTTAGAGAAGACCCACAGTAAAAGCAAAAACAAAAACAAAAAAACAGCATTTTCCACATTTATTTGATAGTACTTGACCCTTTTGGAGTAACTCCATTAATTAATGATGCTGGGAACATACATTAATAAACATTGCACTAGGGTCAGCTGGGTGGCTTGGTTGAGTGTCAACTCGTGATTTCAGCTCAGGTCATGATCGCAAGGTCGTGACATAGAGCCCTGCATCAGGCTCTGCACTAAGCGTGGAGCTTGCTTGGAATTCTCTTTCTCCCTCTCTGTCTGCTCCTTCCCCCGCCCCCCCCCACTCTGTCTCTCTCTCAAAATAAACATTCAAAAATAAATAAATAAAAATTGCTCTAAATTTGTTTCTCCTTAAGTCACAGATTTTATCATTTCACTCATCTACTAAGAAACCATCAATGGACTTCAAATAATCTTTAGATTTTTTCTTTTTTTCAGAAAAATGTCCTTTCAAAGAGCCTCCACAACGCAACCTCCTCTAGTGATCAGTTTTGTCTTTACTCTTTCCCTCTGTAAATCCTTTGCTTTAGCTAGGTCAGACACTTCACTGGTCCCTGAGCAAGTCACACTCATTTTTCTAACTATAATTCTCACCTCTCCCTCATCTCTACATTTCCACACACTAGCTAGGTAGCGATTTGGGTTCTCCACTCCCAGAAATTTCACAAAGCCTTCCTGATTTCAAATTAATTGTTCTTTTATAACACATGAGCACTTGACCCTACTACATTGGCTCATATGCTGCTTTGCACCATCAGGATTTATGCTGGTAGGTTCATCTATCATCCAGCCAATCCAAATTCCTGTGGTAAACAACTGTATTTTGTGTTAGTTTTATATTACTTTTAGGGACACCTGGGTGGCTCAGTCGGTTAAGTATCGACTCTTGATTTCTGCTCTCTTATGGTTCGTGAGATCGAGCCCCACGTCAGACTGTGCCGAGTGTGGAGCCTACTTGGGGTTCACTCTCTCCCTTTCTCTCTCTGTCCCTTTCCCACTCATGTTCTTTCTCTCAAAAATAAAAATAAATATTACTTTTTTAAGAAGTTTATTTATGTTGAGGGGGTGAGAGTACATGCAGGCTCACGTGAATGAGGTAAGGGCAGAGAGAAAGGGAGAGAGAGAATCCCAAGCAGGCTCTGCCCTGTCAGTGCAGAGTCCAGTGCAGGGCTTAAACTCATGAACCCTGAGATCATGACCCGAGCTGAAATCCCAAGTCAGATGCTTAGCGGACTGAGCCACCCAGGTGCCCCAATATTATATAACTTTTAATGCCTGGGTTTATGTCTACTCAAAAAATGAATGAATGAATATGTTCAATTCTCTAAGTGTAGAGATTTTACATAGATTGGGAACAACTGCAGATTTTTAAACTGAAGAGGTAGAACACAGCACATATGAAATTTCAGTGGGTGGCAATAAGACATCAGTTTGACTAATTTTTTTTTAGCTATGACTTCACAGCCTTATTCACAAGTTCTGAGATATACTATTTTTACTCATTATGCAAAAATGTGATATTGATATAATATGTTTAAGAATAATTGCATGTTTGTATGAAATCTCTTTTAAACATCAATAATCCAGAAAAAAGGGGGCAAAAAAACATGAGTAGGTAATGTATCTGTGAGTTTTTAAGCCCAGGAAGATATAAAAAACATTGAAAAGAAGAGATACAAACAACAGGAAATAAAGAAAAGCTAAAATTTAACTGATTTGTCAAATGCAACTCATAGAGGAGATTCTTGACATGGGGAAATAGTTCATAAATGTTAGTTTTTCCCTCAGGGTACTCAAACATAATATCTCTCTGAGAACAGCAATTTCTTTCTTTTTTTTCTTTTTTTATTTTTTTTTAAACATTTATTTATCATTGAGAGACAGAGAGAGACAGAGCGTGAGCAGGGGAGGGGTAGAGAGAGGGGGAGACACAGAATCTGAAGCAGGCTCCAGGCTCCAAGCTGTCAGCACAGAGCCCTATGCGGGGCTCAAACTCACAAACTGTGAGATCATGACCTGAGTTGAAGTCGGTTGCCCAACCAACTGAGCCACCCAGGCACCCCACAGCAATTTATTTCTTAATTTTGAGGAAAGACCCTAGAAATGCCAATAAACTGTAAAAGGACTTACCTGCCTAATCTAGAATGAGTACAAGGCAATTAGACTTCTGATATTGGCCTTTACCATACCTGGAAGTAAGATCTGTGTCATCATCAGTCAGTCTGCACTTAGTGATGTAATTAAGGTCAAACATGTCCAAAAGTAAAATAAAGGGACTTAGGATGACTATCTTATTCCAGGAAGAAAGCTACTCACAGGCTATCAATATCAGAAAACGATTCTCATGGATGGTCAGGGTTAATTATCATGATAAAATAAATGGAATATATATAAAATCATTCAATTTTTATTCCAAAAAAGCAACATGTAAGAATTCAGTAAATGGAGTATAAGTACAAGAAGCCACCTTTTTTCAGTGAGCACCAAGCGATACCTTTTATATTTTTCTATAATTGTTTCCATGCTAGCTGAATCATCCAGTAAATACTTGAAAGATTTACAGTGGATGGTGACTCTATTTTCCAGTTTTGTTTTCTTTTGCTTATCCATAGCATAATTGGTGCTAAGAAAAAAAATTGGTTTCTTTATGGTCTTGGGCCTAAATATCAGTATTAATTTAATTGGCTTAGTTTTTTAAAGAATGAAATCATTCTTTTGTCAAGTAAAAGAAATGACTAGAAAACCAAATTGTAAATGGAAAGTTATAACTTCCTAAAATGGAAAAAGAGAAACTGCTTTCTAAGAATGGGAGTTTTTCCAAAATGTAAAGGTATAAAACTAGTTGGGAAAGAAAAAACAAAACAAAAACAACACTGTCTTCAGGATAATGGCTACCTCTGTGGAAGGAAGGGAAAGAATGGGATACAGGAAAGGTGACAAACTTCAAGCACACAGAATATTAATTTATTTTTTTAATATAATTTATTGTCAAACTGGCTAACATACAGTTTCTTGAGAGATTTGAAAATGCTAACATTTTGCCATGTGTTTCACATTTCTTAAGATCTTAAGAAAATGTTATAGGTAACTTTATTATGTAAATATCCACACATACCCATGCATACACACACACACACACACACACACA